TGGCTACGTCAACATGGCGCTCAACTCGGAGCAGACGACCAGCCGCAGCGGGGATGCCGGGATAGAAGGACTCGGGGGAACCTTCCGGAAACTGGATGTTTGATCATACCCCCCTCCTCCCCTACCCCCATTCCGGTCCTAATCTTTTTAAAGTTTTAGTAGAGGTTTTACAGAAATCGCAACTGCATAAGGTCATTTTAATTTATGAGCGCCAGAAGATTAAAGGCGTTACAAGAGAGTAACAAACAAAAAAAAGAAGAAGGGGAAGTAAGGACGATAGATGTTCGATAGGAAATAAGAAGCAAACCACACCAGAGCACACGCCAACCACCCACTCCTAATCTTTGACAGTAGACAATAACATGGCACAGAAGATCAGTGTCTCATTTAGACATAATACAATAACATTATTATATTTTTTTCGTAAGAGTTTTACGGTACTTGCAACACAATAAGGTCACATCAGTGCCGAAGATTAGAGGTGTTACAAGGGAGTAACAAACACAATAAGGTCACATCAGTGCCGAAGATTAGAGGTGTTACAAGGGAGTAACAAACACAATAGGGTCACATCAGTGCCGAAGATTAGAGGGGTTACAAGGGAGTAACAGAAAAAAAAGAAGGAGGGGAAATAAAGACGATAGATGTTTAATAGGAAAGAAGGAGCAAACCACACCAGAGCACCCTCCAACCACCCACATATATTCAATGACCTCGGGTGGGTTGTAAAGAGGGTGGGGCTTGTTGTTAGCAAACACTGAGATCGCTCAGATTATAAAGGAAGAATATTATTGGCTGAAAAGACAACGAAACACGTTCATAAAACGCTGTCCCCGCGGTTTTATGCAAAAAAAAGAAAAAAAAAAAAAGAAGAAATTATGCAAACTGAGCCCAAAATGTGAAATTATGCGATTCTGTTAATTTTAACAAAGAATGATGTAGGAAAATAATAAGAAAATATGCCAAAAATGATCAAATTTTGCAAAATTATGCGGGGTGCATAAAACCACGTGGACAGAAAAGGACAAGGTGAAAATATAAAGAGATTCAAAAGTATTACAATCTTTACAGTGGCAATACCACGCTGGAAACCAGGAAGATCGACTCACCTGTTCGTCTTTATTCATATTGTACATACATTGTGTTCTTCGGTTTTTGTGTTGAGCAAATTTGTCGGTGACTTTTGGTTGGATGGTGCATCATTCATGTTGAATCATAATTTATGGTTGAAATATTTCTTTTGTTTTCCACCCTCAACAAGATGCAAAAACATCGGTGGTCTAAACTGAAAGAAAATAAAGCCCCCCATTTTGGTGTTTTTGTTTTGTTCTGGGTTTTTTTTTTTGGAGCAACCACTGTCATTGACTCTTGTTTGTTTTAGTAATTAGTAATGTTTACGGCGCTCGCAACTGCATAATAAGGTCATCTGACATTGTTTTTAAACGTAGGAAGAACATTAAATTAAATGACATTGTGCGCTATATGAACACAAACAATAGAAAAACCAGCACATCAGAACAATAACGCCCAAACAAAATGAGCACACCAACAAATTAAAACACAACAAAGAGGGAAACATAAAAGAAAAACCGCAATAAATAGATGTAGTATGTTATGTACCTACATTCTTCGCATGGAAATTGCTGTACATGGACACGTCAAAATTATCAAAATGCATGTCTGATATGATATGAAGTAGCTCTTTTGTGGAAAAATGCAGAAATCGCAAAAGCGACCCACGCCGAGACAAACGCAGATGCTAGGCCAATTCATTGGCGGTATATCGGGGCAAAATTGCACTTAATTTGTTAATAACTGTATAAATCGATCATTCGGGGGATGGCGGTGAAACGGTGCAAAGACGTTTGTTATTACAGTGGCGGTCAAAAGAACCTTGAAAATATAATCACCAAATCACATTAAACGTTGCCCGAGATATGGTCACTCAAAATAGACCTTTTAAAAATTCAGACCTGGCAAAATTGTGTAAAGTCAAAGAAACATAAAAGTGTAATCGCGCGTGTATTGAGGTGCATCAGCATGGAAGGAATGGGCATAGATTGCTTATCACATCACAGGAATGGCCCATCTCCCTTTCGGAATGGGGGATTTTGTCTCAGCAACAAACAGTATTTTACTACACTACCAGATTGCGAGGGTGTGGTGGCGGAGCGGTTAGTGCGCTCGTCTCCGAAGCGGAAACTTCGGGTTCGAGCCTCGGTTCGGACACGGATTCCGCTCCCCCCCCCCCCCCCATCCTGCCCACCCAGCAGTAATGGGTACCTGACTTCGAATTGGGGAAGTAAAGGCGGCGTGGAAAGGAACTGGCCACCCTACCACAATATGCCGAAGGCCCAGGAAGTTGTCTCATTAACAAGGCAATCCCCAATGTCCGGATCGGATGCGGGAACAACTTTACTAGATCGTGAAACAGGGCATGATAGTACATGTATTGATAGTACAGGCACAACACTGGATGCACAGTCACAGTACGGTGTAGGCCTACAGTAAAGTCACTTGGTCGAATGACTCTGTTACACGTACATGTATTCTCTTTATTGAGATGTATGGACCTGTAGATCCCACGAATGTCTCTGGACATATGCTGGTAAATAATTTCAAATTCAAAACAACTTGTTGTTGAGTGTGTTTTCGTGCTTGAAGAGCTTTTCTTTGTAAGCTTAGTAGATTATACATGACACAGAAAAGACAAATAGATCAACATGTATTTTTGTTCATATTGAAAAAAAGGGGGCCATTTTGGAATTTTAAATATTGTTAGTTTTTTTTTTGTCTGAGGCTTTTCTGTTTTTTTTTAACCAAACGAATTGAAACTTTACAGGCAGATACTACAAGAAATACAAAAAAAAAATATTGAAGATCTTTTTAATTGAACAATTATTTTTATTTTTACATGATGAAGGGTTTTGCACAATATAATTTGCATTCTAAATTCTTTCACTTTCACACAAACTTTCAGAAACCAAACATGAAAACTCTGACATACACATCGTTCTATCCAAAGTTTAAACAATAAACAAAGAGGAATCCTGCAAAGTTTCAGGTGCTTTGCTTGAAAGACAAAAAAAGGTATAAACATAACATTAACATGTGGGCCAAAAGCACAATTTTGATAAATGGCCGATAAAGATCAAACCAATAACAAAATTGCCAATTACATTTGAAAAGAAACTCTATTATTGCTGTTATAGAGTGTATTTTGGAGCTGTTTCCACTGCTAAATGATAGAACAATGGATTAGGAAATCTAAAATTGCCCCCAGAACGATTTTATTGATATTTTTTACCAGCATATGCCTTTAAGTCCACAGACTACAATAACAAATGCAGACAGGGCCTACGAAGAACTTGTAGATTAAGCCTAACATTTTGCAAACAGTCAATATGCAACTAGACCTGAGAGCCTTCATCTACAGACATCATGATTTTTAAATATGAATAAAACCATCTCATAATAATAGTGTGAGAGAACAAATTTCGCTTTAAAAAGAGTCTTTTGTCAAAATACATGTATTAATACATCTGTAGGCCTTTTTTAAACTTAAAGATCGAGACGAGACGTGATAAATAAAGAAACGTGATAAATAAAGAAACGTAATAAATAAAGAAACGTGATAAACGAGACGTGATAAATAAAGAAATGATAAATTACACTTTTATTTGTCCCGGGAGGGCACTTTGGTTCACAATGGCAAATATACATATACGTACATAAATATATATATAGAGAGAGAAATACGTACATACATAAATATATAGAGAGAAATACGTACATACATAAATAAAAAAGAGAAAGAAATACGTACATACATAAATATATAGAGAGAAATACGTACATACATAAATAAAAAAGAGAAAGAAATACGTACATACATAAATATATAGAGAGAAATACGTACATACATAAACACAAGCATAAATAAATAATGATAAATACGTACACGCATAATACACAATTATAAATACGTACATACATAAATACATGCATAAATACATACATATATACACAATATTACACAAATACAGAACAGTTTACAACCAAG